CCACACCCACACCCACACCCACACCCCACACCCACACCCACACCCCACACCCACACCCACACACCCTCTAAAATCTCAGCGAGAAACTAGTTTAGTTACTGTAGCAAACGACCGGGATTTTTTCAACAGACTCATTGGCATATCTGTGTGATGTGATAAGTGCAATTCTGTATTGTATATGCATGAGGTTTCTGCTCACCACAGTTCTATCGAAATATTTCCTTGTTGTGTGTGTAGAGACGAGAAAAGTAAAAGTGGTTTGGCTTATTATCTATCTATACATAGAAAAAAATAAAATAGCAGAAATGTTTTAAATTCAATGGAAAAAATTAACAAGTCTGTAAGAAAACATTTAAATTGTCAGTAGCACGATTAGCGACTGCAAAGTCCAACTTTTTATCTTTGTTGAAATCGCCAACAACAACGAGGAATGGTAAAGAAACGCGATTGAGTAGATATTTTTCTTGATCTGTAAAAGTACCATCACCACATCCAATGAATATAACTACATTAGAATCGAGATAATTAGCGACAATGATATCTAAGAAGCGATCATTGTTAAAATCACCAATGGCAACTGAATACGGTTGAGAATCATTTCCAGTGGAATATGTTCTTTGATTTGCAAAAGAGCCATTACCATAACCCAGAAGTACACTAATACTGCTATCATTAACATTACTAACAATAATATCTAATCGAGAATCATTGTTTAAATCACCAACAGCTAAAGACCATGGACGAGAGCCAGTTGGAAATGTTATTTGATTTGCAAAAGAATTATTACCAAATCCGAGAAAAATACCAATAGTATTAGTGCCTGAATTCGTGACAGCAATATCCATACGAGTGTCATTATTAAAATCACTGACGATGATTGATCGTGGAAAGGATTGATTACCAGTTATGAGTCTCCTTTCGTATTGAAAAACCTTATTGATACGACCAAGAAGTACACTTACAGTTTCACCAACTGAATTAGCAACGACAAGATCCAGTCGACTGTCATTGTTAAAATCGCCAACAACGACAGACAGAAGAGGCGAGGCAGTTGGAACCGTTGTCTGATTTGCAAAAGAACCATTGCCATATCCAAGAAATACACTCACAATATTGTCACGTCCGTTAGCAACAACTATATCCAACTGAGCATCGTTGTTGAGATCACCAACAGCTACCGATTTTGGTGTACGACCAGTTAAGTATTTTGTTTCATTTGCAAAAGAACCATTACCATATCCGAGGAGTACACTTATACTGTCTTGATCACCATTAACAACAACAATGTCCAGTCGAGTATCATTATTAAAATCACCAATAACTATCGATTGTGGATTATGCATAGTTGAAGATACTATTTCATTTTCAAAAGAACCATTAGCATATCCGAGGAGTACACTTACAGTATTGTTACGATAATTGGAAACAATTATGTCCAGCCGAGTGTCGTTATTGAAATCACCGATAGTTACTAAGTTTGTTCTACGGCTAGTTGAATATATTGTCTCATTTGCAAATGAACCATTACCACATCCGAAGAGTATGGTTACAGAGCCGTTTAAACGACGAAAACCAGTAAAGATGATATCTAGCCAAGTGTCATTATTGAAATCACCTAGAGCTATAGATCTGGGCGAAAGAGTCACCGTTGAATACTCTATTTGATGTGCGAAAGAACCATTGCCATATCCGAGAAACACAATTAGAGGTTTGTTTATGAAGTCGAAACCAACAGCAATATCTAGTTGGGCATCGTTGTTGAAATCAGCAATAGTTAGAGATATTGGGAAAACATTAGAGAGATAAAAAGTTGTTTCATTTGCTAAGCTACCATCTCCATATCCAAGAAGTACGTTTAGAGAAGTACTGTACTCGACACCAGCTAAATAGGAAGTAGTAACAACGAGATCTAGTTGAGCATCGTTGTTTAAATCACCAATAGCTAGTAGTCGTGGAATGTCGGTAGTTGAATAGTGTGTTGGTCCTTCAAAACGGCCGTTATCATATGCAGCAAATGTATCTATATTATCAGTGTTGTCATATGCGACAACAATCTCGGATTGTCCATCATTATTGAAATCACCAGCAGTGACAACTAATGGAGCAAAATCCAAACTAGATGAATAAGGTATCTGACGTTCAAATTGTCCTGTTCCATCTCCTAGAAGCATATCGATCTTCTTAGTACCATGATTAGCTAAAGCAAAATCATGTTGACCATCTTTATTGAAATCCTCAATGGCAATGGAATATGGATTTGAACTGGAACCCACTGAAAACATTGTTTGCTTTGAAAAAGATCCATTAATACCATATCCGTAATTTATACCTATGTTATTAGTGCCCGAATTAACGACGACCAGATCTAGTACAGTGTCATTATTAAAATCATCAACAGAAACATATTTTAGACCAGAGCCGTCACCAGATGCAATTGTTGTTGGGTTTCTTAAAGATCCATTAGCATAATGAAGTAATACACTGACAGTATTGTTAAACTCATTAGCAACGACTATATCTAGCCAAGTGTCATTATTAAAATCACCAACAGCTATAGAAGCTGAACCATAGCCAGTTGAATACTTGATTTCACGTGCAAAAGAACCATTGCCATATCCAAGGAGTACACTTGTGGTGTTGTCATTCGTATTACCAATAACGATATCTAGTCTGGTATCGTCGTTAAAATCACCAACAGCTATAGATTTTGGAGACGAGGATACTGGATCCAGCTGTTGTACTTCAAAACTTCCATTTCCATATCCGAGAAGCAGACTCAACCTTTTGTCACTATCACCACTAACAATAATATCCAGCCGAGTATCGTTATTGAAATCACCAACAACTACAGATGTTAAGCCAGAGCCAACTGAATATTCTGCTTGACATCGAAAAGAACCATTTCCATATCCGAGAAGTATATATGCCGTGTTGCCCAAATAAAAATAGTTAGCAACGACGATGTCCAATAGGGTATCGTTATTGAAATCCCCAACAGCGACGAAGTATGCCCATAGAGTAGTATTTGTGCGGATAACTAAACATTCAAAAGAACCATTGCCATATCCGAGAAATACACTTGCAGTTTTCTGACCCCACTCAGCTACAACAATATCTAGTCTAGTATCGTTGTTGAAATCACCAACAGCTACACAATTTGGAGATGAGCCAGTGACATACTTCATTTGATTTGCAAAAGAACCATTGCCATATCCCAAAAGTACACTTATAGTATTGTCCCCCTCATTAACAACAACAATATCCAGTTGAGTATCATTATTGAAATCACCAACAGCTACTAATTTTGGATTATGGCCAGTTGAACGTATCGTTTGATTTGCGAAAGAACCATCACCATATCCGAGAAGTACACTTGTAGTGTTATCATCCCCATTAACAACAACAATATCCAGTCGAGCATCATTGTTGAAGTCACCAACAACTACCGATTGTGGGGTACGACCCGTTGGATACGTCTTTTCCGATTGAAAGCCTTCATCATAACCAAATAGAATAGCCATGTTATTAGTATCATTGCTGCTGATGATGATGTCTAGGAAATTATCTTTATTAAAATCAGCTATCACAACTGAGGTTGAAGAAGAAGAGTCAGTTTGATACATTGTTGGTTTAGAAAAAATACCGTTACCAAATCCTAGTAATACGCCGATGTTATTGATACCTTTATTAGTAACGACTAAATCAACTCGATTGTCTTTATTAATATCACCAACACTGATGGAATACGGAGAGGAAGTATTGAGTGAGTACGTGCTTTGACTGCCAAAAGTGTTGTTGCCATTATTCAGAAGTATACCCACATTGTTAGTTCCATAATTAGCGACAGCAATATCTAACAGAAGATCGCCATTAAAATGTTCAACAATGATCGAGTATGGATGGGAATCGATGCCAGTTGATAATATCATTTGAGGTAAAAAATCACCATTACCATTTGCAAGAAGTATATCTATATTATTTGTACCATAATTAGCAATAATAAGATCTAAGTGATTATCGTTGTTCAAATCTCCACTAATAACTGAGAATGGTGAAGAATCATATCCTGTTGAATAAATAATCGAATTTGAAAAACGTCCATTTCCATATCCATAAAAAATGCTTATACTATCTGTTCCATAGTTAGCAGTAACAATATCAATATGTGTGTCATTATTGAGATCAGCTATATGTATCCAGATTGGATGAGATGAACCAGTTGAAATTATTGTTTCATTAGCAAAAGATCCATTTCCGAATTCCACGAATATACCTATGCTATTAGTGCCAAAATATGCGACAGCAATATCTATCTGATCATTATTGTTGAAATCTCCTAATGCAACCATGTATGGAGCAGAATATGAACCGGTCGGATATGCTATATGACTTGCAAAACTACCGTCATTATAATCAAGAAATACGGATATACTATCCACAGCATGATTAGCAACAACAAGATCTAACCGTTTGTCATTATCATTATTAAAATTGCCAACAGCGACAGACCGAGGACCATAATGATATTCCATTGGATTTTTGATTGTTTTTGTAAATTTCAATTGACACTTTTGAACTAAATCAAACAAGAAAACGATGAAAAAGTTGATCATTCTCTATGATATAATCATTTTTATTGAATGATACCGAATTTTTATAATCAATCACTGGACACTTCTTTTGCATTTTACTGCATTTAGATCCGAATACTATTAATATTTTTACTTAGAATGTCATTTACGTTTTGAGAATTTAAATAGAATTAAATGGAAATATTAGCAAGATAACTGATCCATTCACTTTCTTCTGCCTGCGATATACCTCTAAAATAACTCTCTTTTTTTTCTAAGTTCTTTTTTATTCTTGAATAGGAATGGATAATACATTATTTTTGTCACTATTTTGAAGTCTAGATTTTTTGATCGAAAAATATGTTAATGAATTGATTGTATAAGATAAAATACATAAATCTCATTTAGAGAATGTTTGAAAAGTAAATTCTTTTTATCGCTTATTACTTTTATACAAAACATATATGTTGTAATCTTTTTTTTTCGTGGTTTTCAAGTACGAAGTTGTCATGACTAGTTTTGAGACATTTTCTCGTAAACCTATTGCATAAGCCTCAAAACAGAAAAAATTTATTTCAATACATGCTTTACATAAACGTGATAAGCGATGAAAAAAAAGAACTTATTTTTTAAATATTCTCTATATGAGATATAGGTATTGTATCGTAGAGATATTTTTTTTGATACCAACACCCTACTAAACATGTATTAACTGTTGACCCGAAGATGTCGTTTGAATTTACTTTATTTAGTTCATAGTTTACATATGGAGAAAATTACAAAATACCTTTTGCTTTTGGGGAAGTCAGACCAACTATCAATATGCCTGCCGCCATCATCAAGATTGTGAAGAAAGCAAATGCACCTATAGCTATTTCAATGGAATGTGTTGACCACCATGAATATTCTCTAATAATAACACATTCTATAGATATGATGATTGAGACAAAAAGAAAGAGGTATACAATCGTGTTGGAGTCATTGGTAGCTTCTTCATTGTGTTAGTAATTTTAACAAAATGGGCTAATCCAGATTGATTTTGTATCGAGTTTTCTTGTCGTTCATTATCAACGTGAGAATGTTGCTCAGCAAGTGGACTTTCGATTGAAATGCCAACATTACTAATAGAATTTCCGTTTATCTACATAGTAAAAATAACAATATTTAATAAAAAAAATTTATGAAAGGTAGTCATGAGTCGTAGAATAGTTCTTTTTCTTTTATACAAATTACTTTTTTTGTTTCATTGGTCATGTTTTCTTGAATGTCGAGAAGTTGAAAACTCTTGATGGAATAAAAGAATAGATCACTTAATTAATTTAGTAATTTTAATCTAAATTATTAAATATCATAAGAATTCACATGTTTTTTGAAAACATTCTTGAACTACTAGTAGATAGTGTTTCGGTAAACATAAAAATATTCAGACGTTTGCATTCGTCTACGTTATGGGTGAGTGTGGGTGTGGGTGTGTGTGGGTGTGGGTATGGATGTGGTATAAGAATAGATTCCTACGCACAACTACGGGCCCACATCCACCCCACACACCCACCCACACCCACACCCACACTCACACCCACCCACACCCACACCCCACACCCACCCACCCACACCCACACGCGTCCACCCACACCCACACCCTCGTGAAATTCTATGCTGATTTTACATCTCGAAGCAGTCGAAAAGGTTTGACACTTCTGTAGAATGTTCTCTTGACAAAGCGTTTCGCTAGCGTTTGAATTCAAGAAAGCAGGTTGTCTCTAGATGTCACTCGAAAGATTCTTAACTTTCAATATACCGCTCATTTGATATTTTTGATTGTTGTAGAAATCATTTCTCGTATCTTTGCTTTTGGCACTCCTCTCAGAGAGTAATAGAGCCGAAATTCTCCGAAGAAAACCTTGTCTATGTTCCATTGTTTTTGATCATTTTTCTTCTTACATTTCATAGGCTCAGCTACACATCATTGAAGCAGATGTAGCGTAGACTAAACATAATTAATAGAATGGTACTTACAATCAAATAATGTAAAAGAACGACAGAAGATGAAGAGAATCTAAATGAAAGCAGAAAAAAACTGAATTAAAATGCGACGAATGCACTTTTTTATACATGTTTTCTTCCAGTGATCAGTGATGCATGGGTCCTCTTCCTTTCATTTCGACGAAAAAAAGTAAGCAACAAGAGAGAGACAAATACAACACTTTTCTTTTATCGAACACGTAACGACAATTTTCTTCAATTAATTGTAAAAATGAAAGAGTAAAAATACAGTATGTAAAAAAAATTATTTGGACACTTCGTTATATATTCTTTGTAAAGCAATTTTCACCATGAAGACAAAACATTTTATTAACTCTGATCACATCATTAGATAGCCTGAAATCTCTAGTTTATTTCTCAATAAAAAGAATTTTTTAATCAAAAGTTCTTCATGAGCTATTAATAGCTCATGAAGAACTTTTGATTAAAAAATTCTTTTTATTGAGAAATAAACTAGAGATTTCAGGCTATCT